CCAAGAGGTTCATTCTCATCCAAAAAACGAAACATCGATGTGTACAACGGGTGTCGTTTTAACGCCATCGTGCCCAATTCAAAATTGTTGTAGTAGATGATGCCTTTATACTCACTTTCACTTCCATTAAGAGCAAAGTGTGACACACCCTCAAGCTCACTAGTAGAGAGGGCTGTTTTGGCCCATTTCTTAAACGTAGGCCAGAGATCCTTCACGACCTTGAGACGATCAATATGTATACGACGATAGCCGTAGACACACTGATTTACCTGCATCAGCCGAAATACATCACAAGGAACAGCTTGAGTAAGAAAGGAATCCGTATCAAGCCGCCAGTAATACTCATAGGAGTCTAGCGAAGGCAGCTGCCATACCAATCCAGCCCAAAATCGACACATAATGCGATACCCACGCTTGTGATAGCGGCGCTGTTCTGGTGTGTTCATCCATTCGTTAAGCTGCTCCTCAGACACACCGTGGGGTAGTGTACGCCAGAACTGTGAAACATCCTCAAATGTCACATTACGCGCTGAAAGCAACACATCCCGAATCACCTCTTGTCTGTCTTGAGGCATTTTTTCATGAAACACGTGCACAGGGTAAGGGTAACGGGAAAGAAAATTCACTTCCAGAAGTGGAAGCGCTTTCTTAAAGAATAAGCGTTCCTTCTTGCCTGTTAGAAATAATATGACACCGTTGACCTGCGCACGCCCATTATTTCCTTCTAATGCAGGTGTACAGACAGCCTCCACGATACTCACCCGTTGCGTTGCTGGAGCGTTAGTGGGGTCAGGTTTCCTACGCACAACCTCCATTTGATACACAACAGTTTCACTCGGGAGGAAAAATCTATATGTGCCAATGAAGAGCATGATCAGTGCGAACATCATCACTGATGTGCGCCTTCGTCCCATTGTATTCGACATGCCTTACTGTCCACAACACCCTCTTTTATTTGGTCACTTCGAATAACAAGAAAATGAAAGAAAAAGAAACAGACGGTAGAGAAAAAACAAATATCCTAATATGATTCCTGATACGGTCAAACGTAGAAGAGAAACGGCATAAAATATCAACGAGAAAATACTGTATTCCGTTTGAATTAGTTACTTTTACCAATTTTATGTATCAAATCACAGGGAAAAGACATTAAAAACTAAACTGTCCATCCTTCCGGAGAACTCACCCGTAAGGACTTAAGAAGTGGTAGATTCTAGGGTCCCTTCCTTGCCAAATCCCTCTGCGTGGAGGCACTTGAGGGTGATGTGAAACGGTAAAGAAAAAACTAAAATCTAAACCCCTCCTAACCGTTCAGTCATTGCCTATTCGCCATAATTTACCAAAATAAAAAAATTAAAACAATTATTAAACCTCTTAACAACATTATGTCTACCACCATAAATTGAGTTCCATATTATTTCCACCAGCTCTCATGTGTCTAAATAACTGTAATTTCGGCTCAACAAATGTCAAGAAAGCAATACAAGGCAAGAGGGTGCATGCCTAGTCCATTCGAGTCTCACTTGTACCTCAGGTGCCACACAAAATACCACTGACCTCAGAGTTTTTGCGCAGCAACAGAGAAGCAACACCACGAAAACACCACCATTTTCGTAAAGAAATAGCCACAGAAAGTTTCAATTTGACAAATGATTCGCCAAAACACAGTTACGACAAATACATGAGAAAATAATAAATAAAACCACAGTGGATATCAATGTCCTGAACACACACACATATAAACACAATACACCAACACACTTGCAGACAAAAACAAGGAGAAAATAAAAAATAAAAATAAAAAAACATCGCCTGTACAACGGCACTATACTATCTTTCAGGAATAAATACTTGAAAATTTCTACCGTGTTTGTATCCCGCAAAATCTTCTTGAAAATGACATTTACGCCAGCCTTCTTGTAACATAACGGCTTCTACGCCAAGAGTGTGTATAGGTGCATCACCCCAGCGATACCTCAGAATCCCAAACGGTTCATTCTCATCCAAAAAATGAAACATCGATGTGTACAACGGGTGTCGTTTTAACGCCATCGTGCCCAATTCAAAATTGTTGTAGTACATAATGCCCTCGTACTCACTTTCATTTGAACTGAGAGCAAAACGTGTCACGTTCTCAAGCTCACCAGCAGAGAGGGCAGTGTTGGCCCATTTCTTAAACGTAGGCCAGAGATCCTTCACAACATTAGGATGATCCAGAGTTAAACTCCGATAGCCGTAGACACACTGATTTACCTGCATCAGCCGAAATACATCACAAGGAACAGCTTGAGTAAGAAAGGAATCAGTATCAAGCCGCCAGTAATACTCATAGGAGTCTAGCGAAGGTAGCTGCCATACCAATCCAGCCCAAAATCGACACATAATGCGATACCCACGTCCATAAAAGGGTACCTGACCTGGTACGCTCAACCATTCCTTGAGCTGCTTCTCAGACACACCGTGGGGTAGTGTACGCCAGAACTGTGAAACATCCTCAAATGTCACATTACGTGCTGAACGCAACACATCCCGAATCTCTTCTTGAGTGCCTAAAGGCATTTCTTCATGAAACACGTGCACAGGGTACGGGTAACGGG